CTTCCATGGAACCACGAGGAGCCAGAGGAGTCCCTGGAGTGCCAAGAAGACCGCGTCTCTAGGAAGAGGAGAAGAGAGGAAGATGAGGAAGACCATGAAGACGATGACCACCTCCCCCCACATCTTCGGTTCACCCAGAGCATTCCCCCCGACTTCAGCCTTCCATGGAACCACGAGGAGCCAGAGGAGTCCCTGGAGTGCCAAGAGGACCACATCTCCAGGCTTAGGAGAAGAGAGGAAGATGAGGAAGATGATGAAGACGATGACCACCTCCCCCCTCATCTTCGCTTCACCCAGAGGATTCCCCCCGACTTCAGCCTTCCATGGAACCACGAGGAGCCAGAGGAGTCCCTGGAGTGCCAAGAGGACCACATCTCCAGGCTTAGGAGAAGAGAGGAAGATGAGGAAGATGATGAAGACGATGACCACCTCCACCCACATCTTCGCTTCACCCAGAGGATTCCCCCCGACTTCAGCCTTCCATGGAACCACGAGGAGCCAGAGGAGTCCCTGGAGTGCCCAGAAGACCGTGTCTCCAGGAGGAGGAGAAGAGAGGAAGATGAGGAAGATGAGGAAGATGATGAAGACGATGACCACCTCCCCCCGCATCTTCGGTTCACCCAGAGGATTCCCCCCGACTTCAGACTCCCGTGGAACCACGAGGAGCCAGAGGAGTCCCTGGAGCGCCCAGAAGACCGTGTCTCCAGGAGGAGGAGAAGAGAGGAAGACAATGAAGAGGAGCTCCCTGCGAAGAGGCCTTGTATCGAGAGGGATGTTTAAGAGGACGAATTTCACCAAGATATCATTTATTGTTTGTTTTCATATCTGGCAGGTCAAGGGATGCCTTAAGTAGCGTCTTGCACTGTGGCTTTTCTTTACCCCGCTGCTAGATTTAGTTTTTTTTAAGATGTTAGGGTGTCTGGCAGGTCTAGGGATGCCTTAGGTAGCGTCTTGCACCGTGGCTTTTATTTACCCCGCTGCTAGATTTAGGTTTTTTTAAGATGTTAGGGTGTCTGGCAGGTCTAGGGATGCCTTAGGTAGCGTCTTGCACCGTGGCTTTTATTTACCCCGCTGCTAGATTTAGGTTTAAGTTTTAGATGTTAAGACTTTTCTTTAGCACAGACATCTGAGGGCATGACAACTTAGTTTGGAACATGAGAGCTGGTTAAGGCAGAAATGATGTAGCATGTTCTACACCTAATATCAGAGCTGGATAGTCTGCCAGCTAAACAGAAGACAACACAAACAAAGGATTGATAGAAGAACAAGAAGAATGTTCAACAAGATGAAACACAGAGTGGAGGCAAGTTAACAAAAAAACAAATAAAAACACCAGAAGACAAAAAATGAATCCTGGTTGAAAACCACAAGGAGGCAAACCAATCCAACGAAACAGCTGGACATCGCTGCTGAAGACAACGTGGAGTTGAGGTCAACTTAAAGTCTTTAGGCAGAGAGAAAAGGCTGTAGTGGAGGCTGATTAGAAGCTGTCTAGAGCAGAGCTTTCTCACTCCATTCCTCTACAGCAGTGTTTCTGCAGTTTTCAGATGCATCTCTCCTCCAACACACCAGGATCAAACAAACAGCCTTTTACCAGACCTCTGCAGAGCTGAATGACTGATGAGGGAATTCAGCCCTTTGATTCAGGTCTGATGGTGAAGATATGTGACTAAAAGCTGCAGCATAGCAGCTCTGGTGGAGTGAAGTATGAAAGCCTGGTCTAGAGCAGGACAATGCTGCTGGGGACAAACTGGATACAATGGACAGAGACACAGCTTGTGGTGATCATCAGTTGAACTGGTCTCTGGGATGTTGGTAAAAAGGTAGAGATGACGCTTGATAATTGATTTTAGACCAGTTTGAGGCAGAGGACAGGACTGATGTAGGGATTTGGGTTGTGAGTGGCACAGACTGTTAGAAACAGCTTTCCGATGTGACTTGGTCTAGTTCTAGATGTTCCTCTGGTCAGTTAGTTTTCAGGCCTAGTTTGAGGGAAAAGAACCCTCTGCAGAAATATTCTCCATATGATCTAGGCCTGTCCTGACCGCAGTGGATCTCTTCTGTGTTTTTTGAATCCCATGTTGGAGCGAGCCTCTCCAAGCTTTGGGCCAATCAGAAGATGCTGATGAGATCTGCAGCAACCAAACCAGAGGAGGATCATCTGCGCTGCTGACCTTCACAAAGAGTAAGAGCATGTTCAGTAAGGAGCAACAATAATCCATCATTTAAATATAAAGTCAACATTTCAGATGGCCTCACTTAGTTTTTCATGTTAATTTCAGACACTGTGGACGTCCTAAAGCAGAACTCCTGTGAGGAACCGGGACATCCAGGATGGTGAGGAGCTTCCCAGTCCCCACCTGAGGACGGCACAGAGAAAGACTGGAACAGAAAACACACAGAGTAAGACTTTATTAACACCACAAACCCACAACTCAAGCTTCCCAGGCCTGATTAAAAGCTAACAATCATTGAAACACTGGAAGACTAAGATTATGATGAAAACAACATCCTGCCCAGATTTAAACTTGGTGTCGAGGAAATTCTGTAGATGAATTTGTCATATTTTTTTCAGGGAAAGCAGGTAGAACATGGAAGCAGTGTTCTAGCAGACGGATCACACTGGAATAGAGTCCATCCACACGAGTTTGGAGGTATGTTGGTTGTTATTTGACTAGACAAGCATCACATGCAGACAGACTCTGAGGACACTTTGCTTTCATTGATGAAGAAGCTGAAGAAGAGGACGGAGCACACAGACTCTCTCTCCAACGTTCTGGAGTCCTGGAGTAAAATAACATTGACGACCCCACAGCTAAACCATCAGTCTGCTACACCCAGTAGAAGAAGGTAATGAACCTTTATTGCTTCCAGATGTTCATCAGTATTGGTGAAGATAGTAAAAACAGATCCAGAACAAACAGATACAAACGCTACAACCATCCCATCAAGGTGGTCTAACCTTTAATCTTTATCTTTCCATCATGAATGGATGGTCACCTCTATTTGAATCTCTGTAACCAAACCTTTACCAGAACCAGAAGTTCTGACTTTTCCATTAAACCACAGAGAAACAGTTAAGAAGCAGCTTCTGAACCAATATGGGAGAATTTCCCCCCTGGTTGATCTCTGAAGGTTTTTTTTAGCACTTACTAAAGCAGAGAAACGACAGACTGTAGACTCCAACAAATGCAGCATTTTCAGGCATTTTCTCCAAGCATCCATTGTTTACAGTTATCACTTCTGTTAACTTTAGGTTCTCCCTGTGTGTTTCCCTCTTCTATTGGTTAAAGTTTTACCTCTCCCAGTGTTTATGTGTTTAAATGTCACAGATTAGCGAGTTGTTCACTAACTCCTGTTCTTCTTTTCCATATAAGGTCATCTGCTCCTTGAACCGCTGCCTCTGTGTCTTTTGGACGTCTTCTGTCCTGGTAAAGACCCGCTCGGCTGCAGTAGATGGGCGCTGACATGGAGCTGCTGGAGGTTCCTTCCTGTTTGAAGCTAGTTTTCCTCTCTACTCTGACCACTTCATTGCTCAGGAGGGACTGCTGCAAAATGAACAACTGTCTGTGATTGGCTGAGCTTCCTTGGACTGAAGACGTTTCTCTGAATGCCATGATAAACTCAATTTATCTTCACCATGTTGTAAATAGGATCTAATTGGATGCTTCTGTTTAGATTTGATTCTGTGTTTGTGTTGACTTCTGTTACGTGTTCCCATATTAAAATTGTCAAGTTAATTGTCTTTAGATTACATTTGCTGGGACTTGTTTCAATTTTAAGACTGATTTATATTAAATCCCCTTACTGGGTCTGTTTCTGTTGAAGTATGCTTCCTGTCGTTCTATCTTTACGTTTTATTTCTAACTATAATAAAGGTTTGATTGCAGTAATGTAAACAGGATCTGTTTGTATTTTTGGGTAAAGTATCTTGAAATAATTTGTTGTAAATTGGTTCTTTATAAATAAACCAAACTGAAGTCAACTGGAGCAAGAGTCCTAATATTACTATTGTACAGCGCTTTGGCAGATTGGTGGTTATTATTGTTTCTCTGTTGGGGGGTCTGACCTGACAGCTCATGTTAACAGAATAATTGTTCTTGTCACCTTGCAGTGTCAAAACAAATTAGCTCTAAAAAAAAGGATGGTGAGACGTTCCTCCTGCAGTTCTTCTCATTTTATTGACCTTATAGACAATCTGGGAGTTTAGCAGCTGAGCAGAAGGGAAACATCAACACTGAGCCATACAAAGAACAACAAACAAAGATGGGAGAATAAATATAGATGAATGTTGAATAGATGAATAAAACATCTAAACAAGGCCTTTAACCCCACACTGCTCCCAAAGGGGATGGGTTAAATGCAGAGGTAAACTGCCCCAGTGTGAGATCAATAAAGTTCAATTATTATTATTTAAACGTTTAAGGGGCATTATACTGTAAAAATGTATCTGCTGCTAGGTGCCACAAGGGGGCGCTCCTGCTGAGGAAAACTTACATACCCTTAACCTAATTTGTGCTTCTCTGATGAACCATCCTTCTACCAGCAGAACAGTTTATGATTGACACAGTTAGAGCATTTTAATAATATAATCATAGTTTTACGAACAAGTGAATTTTCTATAAATAGAGACACGAGGTGTCGTGTTTCTTTTGGGCGTGGGTTTAGGTGTGGATTATGGTATAGAAAGGAATGGATGGACACACCCCTTCTTGTGAATATTTACACAGTTTCACGTTACATAGTAACCACACTTCATTCATTGAATTATCTGAATACAAATTAAGATTATTTTTTTATTCAGACGTGACTGAAAACCGGAAGAAGCTAAATCCCTCTTTATATCAATTTAATACATTCTTCGTTGGAGTAGCTGTTGTATTTCTGGAGCCAGCATCAGCAGTAAATGAGACAGTGATGAGAGGTGCGGGTGTGCGTGTTTACGTCAGATGCTGCCGTCAGAGTTACGCACAGAGGAATGCTGCGCTCCCATTGGACAATACTTTGGAGGTCGCTGCCCGCCGTGGTGTCCTCCCATCCGCCTCACTCCATCCTGCCAGGCAGAGGTTAGTCGGGAGAAAGCGAAAATGTGATTTATCCGCGGTTACACAAGCGGTTTTAATATTTGCGGTTTCTGTTTCACCGTGTGGAAACTCCGAGCGGCTGAAAGGAGCGTATGAACCGGAGCGGCCGCTGTGTTTTGGGGGCTTCTCCAGGCGGAGGTTGTCGGACGGGACAGCGGAGCATCGATTGAGGTGCGTCCCAATAACTACCGTTACAGTTCTTACAGTTTTTCAGGAATGATATTAATCTCTGTTCTCCATCAGGACCGCGGGTTATTCATCACCCTCCCTTCCCTAAAGATGCTGCCCTGCCTGCGGAGAGTCCTGCGGCCTGCCTTCTCCCTGACAGCCGATAGAGGACTGTCCAAAGCCGGACACAGGAGCAGCCACCCACCCGCGGTCCTTCCAGACTCCACGGTGCGGCTCCCTGCGCTGGTACAGCGATGCTACCTGGGCACACACCCCCTGAAGGAGCCCGTGGAGCCCCTCAACTCACCCAGCGGAGCGAAGGACTTCATTTACAGCCTGCATCCGTCGGAGAGGAGCTGTCTGCTGCGGGAGCTGCACAAGTTCGAGTCCATAGCCATTGCTCAAGGTATGAGGTCCCCCAGCTCTGGGTTCAGTCATCTGGAAGCAAACTATTAGATTTTTTTAACACTGCCCTGCAAATAACCTACACTCACTGAAAATATAGGAACACATAAAACAGCCTTATTTCCTTTATTGGTTTCTTCTTTCAATATGTTGATTTGGGGCTGGGTAGCACTGCTGCCATGGAGCAGGAAGGTTGTGGGTTTGATTCCCGGCTCGGGGTCTTTCTGCATGGAGTTTGCATCAGAGGCATGGCCAACAAATGTGCACTGAGGGGTGGCTGAAAGTAGATAAGCACCAAAACCTCACAATCTACTGTTCCAACTGGAAAATTAATGAGCAAAATATCCATATTTACTAAATAAAGACAAACTATACTTTAGATGCATGCATTTAAACACCCGTCATTTTTAGATAAAAGGTATGGTGGATAAAAGTCTTTCAGTTTTGAGTTCTGGGGTGTAAATGTTTTCCATTGTCATTTTTTACCTACTTGTATCAATAAACATTCGGCATAAAATTGATATTTACAAGCACTAATTCCTACATGAATTGATTTTTTAATAAGTTTTTATTAAAGTAGTTATTTATCCATGATTTCACTGACGATTCTAGATGACTTGCAGAGACATCATTTTCTCTTTACCCCATAAAACACAAAATCTATTTCTGCTTGAATTCTGTACTTATCTTCTTTAATATCAGTATATTAATGTGTATAATTAACCAGTGTTTTTGTCATCAGGTAATTGTTCATATATGAAAAATTTAAATGTTTTGAATTTTCCCCTTGAGAGTATTACTGTTGCCACCATCTGTATTAGAGGGAGTGGCCACCCCTGGCCCCCCATCTAGCTCCACCTCTGGTTTGCATTTTCTCCCTGAGCATGCATGGGTTCTCTCCGGGTACTCCGGCTTCCTCGCACAGTCCAAAAACATGACTGTTAGGTTAATTGGCTTCTCTAAATTGTCCTTAGGTGTGAGTGTTTGCGTGAAAGGTTGGTTGTCCTGCTTGTCTCTGTTTTGCCCTGTGATGGACTGGCAACCTGTCCAGGGTGGACCCCTGCCTCTCGCCAGTAGACAGCTGGAGATAGGCACCAGCACCCCTCGCGACCCCAGCAGGGATAAGCAGGACGGAAAAAAGGATGGGTGGCTGAAAAACAGTGGTGGTTCTAGAACATTTTTTTAAAGGTGGAACACTATAAAAGAAAAAAAAAAAACAGGGCAATAAAGGATCCTTTAGTATATTAAGTGAGCCACAACGCCAATGTTGCCGCCCCTTGATCTACAACAGGGGTTCCAACACAGCACGTGACCCCAAAAACAACAATACGACAGTCTAGAGGTCCTCTACATAATGCATAGATATATCCACTCTATTTAAATTCATACATATAGCGAGAAGTAATTATATTCATTTTAAAATCAAAATTTTTTATGACATTAAAATATTAAATTTTTTATTTTACAAACATTTTCAATGATTCAATGGGACATTTATTATTTCATTGTTCATTTAAAAATTTAACAGTATATTTAACAGTTAAATCATGCATTAGAGAGAGAGTTAATATGGCTCAAGCTCACGGTGGCACAGCTTAGTTTTTATATAATAGTTAAAGTAAACAGTGAGGGTAAAATACTAAATCAACCAGTCAATTTGAATCACTTCTATGTTTATAAGAGATTCATTTAGCATATGTTTTCAGTAAAGGGGTCAGAACCAGTTCCAGAGGGGCTCTGGTCCCCGTTCGCCCCTGTCTACCACCGCCAGTGTATTATGTAGCATTTTTATCATTATAAAAAGAAGAAAACAAGGATAGTCTAATATTTTTTATATTTTATCAATGTTTTTACTTTAGGCCTTACCATACAATAACAAATTATGCTGTATAGAAAGAAATGCATAATGGATAGAAAATAGTGAAAAAAAAATAATCATTTTGGTTTAGCTAAATTTGTATCAGTTGTAGTCAAAACATTGTTTATTTAGTTTTTTATTTTTCAACATATTTTCTCCAATATTTGATAAAAGTCAGCTTTCACTCCTTGCCACACATTCGTCGCTGATTTTCCTAAATGTTAGCAGTAACGATTACCTCCAGGGCCGTTGTTAAGATGAATGAGGTCTTAAACAGAAATTCATTAGGATCTTACCTCAGGCTAAGACCGTTAAAATGATTATGAACTTGGAAGGATTGAAATTTAGAGCGAGGGGGAAGCTGAAAGTTTTATTCTTTTTCCTTAGCAGCTATGAGCTGTAAAAATTGTGGAGCATATTTGCACGACATGAAGCATCAAATATGGGTCATTTATTATAACATTTTTAGCATATAACCAACAGATGCACCTGTAAGCATGTCCTGTGTAAATCTGGTTTCTCTATCTGGCAGGGTTAGCTCAGACTAACTGTTAATTCAGCGGTTCTTGTCTCGTCTGTTTCATTAGAAGTAGAATCATCTGCAGGTTCAGGTTCTGGCAGGGAGAAATAGATTAAGGTGTTTTAATAAAATGTTCATCTTGTTCAATTGAAGGCTAATTGAGGTCGGAGCGCTCTTCAACAGCGAGCAGAATCTGATCTAATTCCTTAAAAAAAAAAAAACGAATCTCTAGGTGGTGCTCTGAAGACAAAAGGCAGGCCATTGTTTTATTTATTTTTTATTTTTTAAAGGAAGTTACCTTAAGGTACAGATTGCCTATAGTTGAGTGGTTATATAGAACATAAATATATGATAAGAACCCAGAGTGCGTGTTTTGATTGACTGTGTTTAAATAGGCTGCTGTAAATGCTGAACGCTTATCCCCAGTTTTTTTCTTCAGTTTTCTTCAGCTTTAGTCCTTTTTCCTGAAGTTTGTATAGATTTATTAAGCATGCTCTCCGGTTTTCTCTCTGACCCTGAAACTTCCTGCAGGATTAAATTATCAGTAGCGGGTAGTGTCTCGGACCACACCAGCCTTCCTCTCTGTGTTTTGATTTGTGTTTTCACAGTCCAGAGATTTCACAGTTTGGTTTATTGGGAGTCTGAAGTACTTGTAAGTGTGAACGTCATTGCTGTAGTTGACTGGTGATTTGTCTTCCATACTAGAAATATTAGAGCTGCGCTGGGCTCAAGCAACACAGTGAAACACACTAAGAGAAATTAATGAGTTGAATGAATGTGGTTTCTTATGTAAACACTTAAGTTAGCTCATAAGACAATGTAATTGTTATTTCTCTTCATTTTATGCAGCATCTACTCGATATTTAAAATCAATAATTCAACATGATATTGTTTATGTTCCCAGTGTTTAATAAATCTTTGCCAATTTCTGCTTTTTTCACATCTATCTTCATTTAGGGCTCTGGTTGTAGTGTATTGTATAATGCACTGAGGGCGGAGGCATTACTGCAGCTCTGTGGAATGTAAGAATACAATATTGGGAGTATAAGAAAAGTCTCAGTACAGAGGATCTCCCACGAGCAGGGAGAAAGAGACGATCAATACGGAGGGAAACAGCAAGTGATGAGGAGGCTTTACCGCTGCTGTGCTGAGCCAAACTCTTCACAACGGGAATAAAACACAGAACCTCTGTTTTATCATGCTTATTATTTATTAAAAGGCTTTAATTTCATATTGATTAACTTGTGGGGTAACAGATAATCAAACATATGCGATTAACTCTACTTTATAAATGTATTTTCTTATTTCTCAGAAGAATCCAGTTAATTTTCTAAACAGTTTTACTAATTAGTCAAAATTTATGTATTACTTTTCTTTTATACTTTATATCAAGACTTGTTGTTCTTTCTTAAGCTGTTGTCTTGGTAACAAGATCATTAGAGCACCTGAGCATTTTCAGTCATAGACCGTCACATAGTAGTAAATAACTGAGCTGGAAGGAGAGGAATACAATTCACATTCAAGAGAAACAACAACGCTAAACAAACACCTAGAGCTGCATTATAATTGTTTACATTAAAGGGACAACAGATCTATAGCCAGTTGTTTCTGTCCTCATATAGCATGTTCTCATGCTTTCCTCATTTTCAAAACTTTCCAGTATGTTAAGAGTCAGAAGGCGCTTTGGTTTTTACAACCCTTGCTTGCTGGGAAGGACAAAGCTTGTAGTTATTTTATTGCTGCCATTGAAAGTAAGAATTATGATGAATCTGGTACATCTGAAGAAAAGGTAAAGCCCCTATCATACCTTGATGATTTATCCAGCGTATGCCTGACGTCCCAGAATCTTCTAAAACGCTGGCATACGCTAAACTTTCTATGTATTTTTTTACATTTTGGGAGTATACTTAGAGTATTTATAACAAGTCCATAACTTATGTCCAACGACAGCCTAACTTATGCAGCGTAATGCCCATTAAATGTCACAAGCCAGTGTCGTGAGGGTGGCGCCCAGCTTGCATAAAAAGATTTCTTTGATAGCGATATTAACTTAGCTGCTGTTTACCGCCTGCCAAGTTAAAAAGAATAAATAAATAAAAAGAAAAAGAAAGAAAGAGGGTTTGCGTCCCAGCAGATTCAGTGTTATGTCTGCTAGGACGTTTATTGGTCGTGGCCGTGAACACAGGGAGAATCCTTCACACTCACCTTCACACTTTCCCTATGATGGTGATGAAATCTGGAGAACTGATGGTTTCCTCCTGTGAAGAAACGCTTTTATACCAAAATGCTGCCAATACGTCATTAAACAGTAGTTGTAAGTTGTACTTGATGTATGTCAACGTGTGCCACAGCATGCTTCAGCGTGCTCATAACATACAGATCATACCCATAACTTATCCAGCGTATACCAGAACCTTTGCCAGATTTTCCATAGTCAGGCATACGCTGGTTAAATCATCAAGGTGTGACAGGAGCTTAACCAAATTCAATGGGCATTCTGGAAGGAGAAGGTCTAGCCACAATGTAAAAGTTCCCTAGTTAAAGTAAAAAAGCTAAATTCAAAAGAGGAAGACTTGAAAATAAAGTTCAAATTTACTCTCTGCTAATCTTGCTGAGTTTGAGT